GTTTCTGCAACCTAACTGTGCCTTATAATTTATAAACTTAAAATCTAGACTATTAAAAGCTAAGAGAAAACTCTAGTTGACAGTTGAAACAACTTGTTATGTGGTTACAGTACACATTTTTACAAGTGTGTGTCTTTATCATTTTGGCTATTCTCAACACAATGATAAATATAAGTTTAAAACAATTACCTGTTAATACTAGACGTAAATCTCATCTTATATTAAAGCAACACATGATATTAATATCGGAAGATACAAGGAAACAAAGGGAAACTTTTCTCCTTGTTTTAACTTTGATGCTATCTACCTTAGACCTTAAGAGGCAAGAAAGTCATAGATTTAACAGAGTAACTGACTACATTTAGAATTATGTCAACTATATTGTTAGTCCACATCAGAAAACATAACAGAGATGCAAACAACAGAAAAATGGTAGCTTCTCTAATTTAAAATAGTTCTCACACGATTACAAAAGCAAAAAGAAAGTTATTTCAAGAAATAAGTCTACATACACCACCGACACTGTTTTCTCTTCCACTCATACTCTGTAAGACAGCCTTATCCAGTCCCAGTTTCAGACTTGCTCTGTCAAACATCTCTCTTTCATAGGAGTTACGTGTTATCAGTCTGTAGACCTTCACTGCTTTGTTCTGACCAATCCTGTGACAACGGGCTTGGGCCTTTTGAAGGAAGGGAGAATGGCAGTAAGCATTTAGATTTATCTAGGAGTAAGATACAATTCTTTTAAGAAATTGTTTCTGCTGCAGGACAATCTGAAAAAAAATAGTATGAACTCAAAAGGAAGCGAATTCACATTTAAGTAAATGGAGGCTATCAGACATTTTCCACATTGTGAACAGTTTTCTAAAAACAGTGTAGTAAGTAAAATGCAGATGAATGACCTGTGCTGAATGCTACTGAATGGTATTTCTCTTGCAGTAACACTAGATAAAAAGGCATGCTAACTCATAAGTTATCTGACCTCCAGATAAAAACGGTAAAGGAGTTGCAACTTGAGAATGGATTCAATTTCAGCATCCAATTCCCAGATTTGATTAATTCACTGTTTCTTAATACACATTAATCCTTTTCTATATATTATGTTTTAGCTGAACGGCTCTATTTCCATAAACAATGTTAGCCGGTATATGCAAAATCTAACCCCCGGTTTCATAATGTCATCAAAATCTTAAGGGTTTTATCAACTCACTGACTTAATTTAATTGTGCTTTTTAAAAGTAATCTATTTGAAAGAAAAAGTTAGAACCCAGCCAAACCCAGATGACCTCTCCTATCCAAGTAGAAAGTATTCATCAAAAAACATTAAACATATGCCTTAAAAACCTGAACATTTTAAAGTGATGCGTGTTCAAAACAGAGACAATATTCAAAGTGACCAAATCTATATCAACCAGGTTTGACCTCTTAGGCCTCCCTATTATGCTCAAAGAATGTACCTGCAGATCATTTTGAGGATTCCAGTCAGAATCAAAAATTATACACGTATCTGCTGCAGTCAAATTAATGCCCAAACCACCAGCTCTGGTGCACAGAAGAAAGACAAAGCGATCGGAATCTGGTTTGCTGAACCGGTCAATTGCAGCTTGTCTGAGATTCCCTCGTACTCGCCCATCAATTCGTTCATATAAGTATCTGGAAATTGTTACAGATATACACACACACACAAATCATTACAAAATTATTCATAGTTTAAAGGGAGATTAGAACAGATCTCCCGCTTACACATTTATTTTTTACAGTGAACAAAAGTGATATAAACTAACTTCGATTATCAGTGGGTAACAACCAGGAATCACGACAGAACTCATGTATCTGTAGTACTAATACACATCAGCAAGTCCAAACACTGAGCATTTTAAAAGAAGTTCTTCTGAACTTTGTCCATTAATGCAAGTACCTGATTATACATACCAAGAAACATGTATTACCATGGCACTTAGTTGCATTAAAACACGCCTGAAGTGGGACCTGAAGTCCCACGTGGACACCTCGAAGTTTTTCACGTGCTATTATGCTTGGATCCCTGCCTAGGGTCACAGAAGCAGGACAGTGTACTTTTGTATTATATACCAAATCGCCTGAACGTATTAGGGCTAACCAAGTAGTAAGCAGAAAGCAGTACTTGGTGAGCTGTCATTGGACAAACTGCATATTGATTCTGTCAAGATTAAGAGAAATGGAACAAAAATGACATGACAGCACCTCTAACAGTCTTTATCAAGGCATCAATGAATCCAGGGATTTCCAAATTAAACCCAGCAAATTTAAAAGCCTTAAGTAAAACTGTTTGTTAACTTTGATAACTACTAAGACTCCTATGAAACTTCTGAAATCAAGTGAAATGCTTAAAAAGGGAGCAAATACTTCTGTACATTGTAAATGGAGTAAGATGCTGAATGTGTATCTACTAGTCAAAAAGCTTCATAACCATTTTTCTTCTAATCAGCTATAAAATGGCACAACAGATAATCCACAGGACCACAGGCATTTTGGCAGGCAGCCATCTCCTACAGTCATGAATTCTGTTAAGTATTAAGTCTAGTCATGTGTGCACTCTGACATTCTAATCAAACAGTAGCATAGAGCAAGTTTCAGCTTCTATGCATTTCAGAAGATTCTACCTATAGATATGATGCACTAGTCTAGATGTTACATCGTTACAGAAAAAGGAGTATTTTCCATACTGGATTGTAAGTACTACTATGAAGTTAAATTTAGTCTATTAAAATAAAACATACAAACTATTGAGCTCTCAGTTCAAACAGATAGCTTTATGAAACAAAAAGCACAGAAGCATAGAAGTTATACAAAATTATCATAAAAAGAGGTATTAATATAATCTACTAATGATTTTCAATATACATTCCAGTATCCAGTGCAAAGGCTTGACATTTTTACTAATTTTTTTTTACATGTTAACTCTATATTACAGTGTAGTTCACTGACAAATATACACTTCAAAGCAGTATGTATATTCCAACAAATGGACTACTAAACCAGCCAGAACTATGCCTTTTTACAGTTTTTCAGGTTGATATAGCAACTACTGATTGTAACCAAGTTTAAGGTTAGATTTTATGTGCTAAGGCTTGATGCGTAGTATTTAGTCACGTGCTTAAATAAGCTCTTAGTTTCTGTGGAGTCAGCAGTATAATCAAAGGGTGCTATTAAATGTGACAGCAAAAGCTGATCTAAGGAGCTGCTTTATGGCTGGTAGTTCAGTTCTGCTGCAAAATTCAAAGCAGTAATAATTTAGGAAAGATAGGAAGCATATTTTTTTTTTTACATTAATAAAAAACAAACCTCCAGTTGTTTACCATTTTGTACTTTATTCTGTTGGGAGGTAAGGAGCTGCATTACCCCAGTCTGGTCCAAGTTCAACACAATGTAAATAAAAAACACATTCTGTGCTTCTGGGATTTGCATGAGCAACACTGAACTTCAACTTACTTGGTTTCTGACAGGCAATGTATAAACAGTACATACATACAAGAACAGTTAATAGAAAAAGCAAAAAACTGAAGGCACATGGTTTACTCAAGAACCTCTTTAGTTGTTCTCTGAAGTTTTTCATTTGTTGGTGAATAAATAAAAAGCCACCACAGAACACAGCAAGTTACACAGTGATTAGCAGAAAAAAAAATTCCTATCTTTGGTATGCTGTAATCATTAATCCTGCACTAACATTCAAAGATATGCCCACTGAGAACAGTATACTGGAGCAAACAGAATCTTACCTTTTATGTATAAGGTAATCCTCCAAAATATCAAGGCAGCGCACCATTTGAGAGAAGATAAGGACCTTGTGGCCTCCTGCTTTCATTTTTGGAAGAAGTTTATCAATAAGAACCAGTTTACCAGCAGACTGGATCATTGCTTGCAGATGGAAGTCAGGAGCGCTTGGACTATATGTTTCTTTAAACTCCCCAAGTATCTTCTCTTCAGCACCTATCAAAGAATGTATTTCTTTGATCTGTTCTGTATCTACAGGTGCATCTACACAAGTATCTCCGTATACATACAAGACTAAGTTACCAAAACAAGTGCTTGTACTCTAAATATCCCCCATTAGCCACTGCTGGAGACAGAACAAAGTTCTGGATGGATCCAAAGCCTAGCAAGAACATCTATTTCTATGCTCTTTGAAAACAGGTCTTAAGTTTTTAAGCAGAACACCACAGAAAAAAACACTGAGAATGAGGTGAACACCCCCCAAATTGCCAATATGAAAGTACAGTTTGTTCTCAAGTGTTGTGTAAAAAAACAACTAAAAACCACAAGTCCTTTTGTCTCTATGATATTTTAAATGGGGCATGAGTCTTAAACCCATCATTTTGAAGACCATTTCTGAAGTCCTGCTATGATTGAAATCATAGCAAAAACTTCAAGAGTTTAAAGTGTATTTTCTTGCAAGCAGGGAAAACGTCCAAGTTAGAACACTAAGCGAGAAAAGCAACAGACTGACACAGACCATATCACTTTCAAGAAGCAAAAATTTTAAAAGTTAGCTCTAGAAGTTCTTTTTCATACTACTTTTAAAGAGATGTAACATTTCCATGAGAGAATTGCTTCTAAATGTTCTGTGAAATCCTACAAAACAAAATGTTCACATTTCAGGCCTCAAATATGCAACTGCCTCACAACTTTGCTTCACATCTATCAAAAAAATGCTTCCACCTAATCCAATCCTTGGCAAGCCTGATGAAGACATCAAAGAATTATAATAAGAGTTCTTACATATTCTAAATAGAACTACCAAAGTAGTTAAAAGAATCAGTCTTTATAATGTATTTACCTTTGATGAGATAAGGGTGATTACAACACTTTCTCAGTTCCATCATAGTGTTAACCAGATTGGGTACATTTGCTTGCCCAGCTCCTTTGGATAAGAAAGCAAAATTTTTCTCCAAAATCGCTCGATAATATTTCTTCTGAATATTAGTTAGTTCTACTTCAATGATAGTTTCCTCCTTAGGAGCCAGCTTTTTTTCTACATCTTCCTTTAATCGTCTGAGCATCATGGGTTTCAGGATAGCTTGTAGTTTCTGAACCTAAATGAAATACAAGTTTGTTAGAACATGAAAAAGTAATAGTGTAGTTTTAATTAAAAATTTTTTAACTCCGTGTCACTATTTTTTTCCCTAGACCTATATAAAGTATTTTCCAGATGGGATACAGCCCTATTTTTAACCCCAATTTACTAAAGAATTTTTTATGTACTCCGAACCCAAAAAAGAGTATCTTTTTAGCATTTGTCTGCAAAGACTCTGTCTACAAAGCCAGAAGACTTCAATTCTTATTATTCTACTTACTTGCCAAATTTACAAAACCAACCCAGAAAAGTAAAAATAATTCTTTAACATAAAAGATCATACTTAACTGATTTCTACTGCCTGCACAGTTTAGAGAAATTGCATGACAAAAGAACTCATAGGTGATATGCAGGGAGTGAAGGGGAGGGTGGGGAACAATAACAGTTACTGTATAAAACAAAAGTTTTTCCTTCAAGGAAGTCACTCAAATACTGAAGCTCAAACTGAACATATTCAACATGCAATACCTGTTCCTCTGTTTTAAGGTCTCCGAATTCTTGCATGAATGTAGATTAAGCAG